CAGCTTTGCTTCAGGTGAAGGCTATGCACGGAGCTACTGCTGAGTTACAGTAGCTGTGGTGGTTTCATCATCACTGTGTTTCCAGAAATGGTAGTCATTACTGTGCAATGAGCTTTGAGATACTGTGATTTTAAAGGACACTAGAGAAAATCAAATTCTGTGATATATTTCAGTTATGAGCATTAAAGCTGTAAGCATTGGCTTTGCAGAAAGGGACACCTAGTGGCTGTACAAAAAACCCCTTACTAAATACATTTTAAAATGTACAACATAGCCATTTGTATGTGGCCTGCAGTCTTCAATATTCCTTACATCTTTGTAGCTCTACTGCATCATGTGTTTGATGGGATAATTTTTTATGGTTTTGGAAAACAAAAAAATCACCTTTGCAAGCCATACCTTTCTAGCTTTATGTAGGTCTATGTATGGTAGCTTTGGCAAATAGAAGACTGCCTTCCAGCTATGCCTGATGTACCTCACTGCTGCACTTCCACATTTTCTATAGTATCTTCCAGGAGTCCGCTGCCTGCTGTTTCCTTCTGCCGTTGCCTTCCCCTTTGGTACTGTACTTGGAGAGGTTGTCATTGTTATTGTCATGGTAAAAACTACTCTTTTGAATGCCCATAGCATAAAAGTCAGCGGGAGGGGTGGATGAGATTCAGGGAAACACTAATCTAAGCACTCAGTCATGTATTACACAACAAAAGTTTTTTCCTTTCCCATCCACGTTGTGCTCCTTCTTACTAGTTGAGGATGAATTCCATGCATGTTTCTGTGAATAGCCTGACAGTTTAATCGGTACATTTGCATATGGGCAAACGGAGCTTTTTTCAAAGTTGCACAGTAATATGTTTCACCTTTATGCCATGCCAGCTTCAAATTGCATCCCAGGAGGATTGCAAATGTGCGTACTCTGTGCAGTTGTCTGGGCTTCTTTTATTTTCTTTTTTTCTGCTTTTTTCTGCCTTTTTTTTTTTTTGAACTGGCAAACGCCTATTCATTGCCCATCTGGGTAAGAATGGCCTTTGCATTTTCACACCCATTCTTTCCTATATGGTTTGTGAATACCCCTCCAATCAGAACTTGCTTCACAGAAAGGGGACAAAACCATTTTACAGGAGTTTCTCAGAATAAGTCCATTGGGATCTCTACATCATGTTTACTGGAGAAAAAAAAGGGGGGGGGGGCACTTAACAAAGACCACTTGAATTTCACAGGAAGGTTCCCACTGTCTCGAGTTTAAAAGAGTGGCAGGCCTGAGAAGAGCCTGAGACAGCAGTCTTTTTCCTGAGCCAGGCATTCTGTGCAGTGACGAGTAGGTGAGTGTGCGCGTGTGTAGCTGGGTCTTGTGAAGAGCTGACACGCTTTCTGGCTTGTCCAAGGCTCTAGTAGTCTTTGTCAGAATGTGGCGTTTACTTTAGAATCAAACCTGCATTGGCAAGTCCACCTTTTATGGGGAGCCGTTGCCTCTGGACTTTCAGATGAGAACAGCATACCGTAAGGGACAACCACAAAACTTGGATCTGGACAGTTTCCTGCAGAGAGGGAGAGCTGCTGCATGGGACAGTGGGTTCTGCTGCAGACCAATCTCTGTAATTTGTTAAAGCTGTTCTTCTATACTGCTGTGGTTTGTGTAGTAGCATCTCTGACATTACTGCAAATTCTTTGGTTACCTGTACTTTGGATAGGTATGGTTTTCAGTGTTGAATGTCAAGGATGGTGGTCTAGAAGAAATATCCTCAAAATCTGTATTAGCTTTTTTTACCATTTGTCATGTGTCTCTCCCACCCACCCCTCTTGTTTTATCCTTAAGGAGTGAATTTCAGCTGTTTCTCAGTTGAAAAAGTGGTAGATGTTCCAATTTCTTTTGAAGAAGTAAAGAAACGAGGAGAGGATTTTTTTAAGGGAAACCTCTGTTATACCAATAGCAACCAAAACGTACTCCATGCCTTTTATGAAGTGACTCAGTTGACTTTCAGACCAGTTCCTACACCTCAAGGTGCATCCTAGATCAGTTCCTGTAGGAGAGCTATTCACATCACTCTCATGAATGCATACAAACCTCTTTTCTTTAGCCTTGATTAATGCCAGCTTGCTGTCTTCATCAAGTTAGCTAATGACCAAATACATTGTGGCTACACAATTCTTGCTTCCCACAACCAGGACCTGAGAAAGGCTGCTGAAACTTACAGATGAACCTTGCCTTTCCTCCTTCCTGTACATGATTTGTGGATAAGTGGCAGAATTCACTTTCACAAGAAGTCATCCAGTCCCGTGGTACATATCACACCTTTCTGGAAAGGAGTTGCCCTGAGGATGCATTTTTCAGAGTTCCACTCACAAAATCCATTTTCGCTGCCAACGTGCATAGGAACAAAGTAGGTTTCTTTGCACCTGCTCAAGTCAAGAGACCTGTCCATAACATCTCTGGTATGTGTAGAATATTCCACCTTCTGTATGTGCAGCAGGATTTTTGGTTTATTGAGTTAGACTGCTGCATGTCTTCTTATTATCAAATACCTCATTTGACAGAGCAGAACATAAACTAGAGGTTGCTCCCTTTTCCAGAAGCACATCCTAAAGACATATTTGTATGAAAAGGGAGCCCTAGGATCAAACCAAGTAGTGATCGGTACTTATTGATGGAAAGATTTCTAGCATACTGATAGGCAGCCACTCAAAGGGAGATGTAGATAAATGGGTAGCTATGCAATCACTTGCCATGGCCTACAGTAGGTCTTGAAAAGAGGTGTCATCTGTTTATCATTAATTTCCCACCCTTCTGTTTCCCTACCAGTACAAAGCTTTTACCAAGTTCTCTTTCTTTCAGATCAAGGATTCTGACTTTTTCTGTAAATACATTTTGAATCCTTGTGTGATCTGACATGTTGGGGAGGGAAGCATCTAGAACTGCCCTGGAGGCCTCTGGAGAATGACTCTGTGTGGAAGGGGGAGGGAATACATCTCCTCTGTACGTTATTTTGTGTAATATTAGTTGCAGTGCCCTTGAGGGAAAGTCTCCCAGTTTCTAAGATAGTTTTCCAGTCCTATGATCAGTCTCATCAGAGGAGGAAACTCAGGTTTCCCAGCAGAGTTTATGAACAAGACAGATGTAATTCACAACCTCCACGATACTGTTAGTGGTTTCCTCCTTATTTCTGTTATGTCAGCATCCCCCCCAGTGATCTGATCTCATCTGGAAATTAGTACCCTTCTGATACTGGCTGGTTTACATCTGTTAACATCAGACTTATTCGGACAGCTTGGCCCCATCAGGATTTCCGGTTCCTGACCTTTCTGCTTCCCTTTTATCATTCAGCTACTTCAGAGAATTATAATAACCACCTGTGTCCAAGGTGGTTTCTCTTTGAACCACCAGAATAGAGGGTGCTTGAGATGTCAGGAGTGAATAAGTGAGAAGGAAAAGTCAGAGCAGGGAGGATGCCACATTTCCCTGCAAATAGCAGTGAGTAGTGTTCTACTGCCTGTGTATGAGATGTAGAGTGCCCTTTAGGTTGGCAGCAGAAGGACAGTGTTGGGCTAAAAAGCATGTATATGAAACCGCTTTCAATGCCATTTATTTGCTCTGTATATTTCTGTTAAAACAGACAGTGACAATAACCTAGTTTAATTTACTCATGCTTCTCTACCAAATTTCACTTTCGGATTCTCGGACATTAACAAGTAATTGTGGCAAGAGGGGTTGTAGCTTTGGTAGGAATATTCAAGACAAAGTGCCTGTAATTCTAGTGGTGATTTTGCATTACTTTGCGTACTTTTCTGGGAACATAGGTGATGCATGTACTACAAATGCTAAGAGAAAGAAATTATTCATAATGTTTTATTTGTTTACCACTTAAAGGGCAGTTTGGTCCTTAATCGTTAAAAGGTGAAACCGTAGTTTCTGCCCATCAAAATCTACATAGGTGAAAAATGAATAAAAAACAGGAAAGGAGACAAAAAAGCACTAAAACCAAAGCAAGCAACATGGAGATAGGGAAAAATGGATTAAGAGATTAAGAAGTTACTCTTTAGTCACTTGTAAAAGTTAATTTTGAAGGATATGTTGGCTCTGTACCCGACTTGGTTAGGTGCTTTTCTAAACTGTTCTCTATTTAGATTATTCAGCCAAACTAAGACAAAGTCTTCCTTAGAGTAAATGTCTGTAATTTTCCAGTTTCTGTCAAGTAAATAACAGCAGGAGAACATTTGTTTTTATATGATGGCATTCTGGTGCCAGTCAGAATTTGGGATATGCTAAAAATGAAGGGGACAGCTCATGTTAACTTTTTGCTTTGGGTTCTTACAGAGGACTGTTTGTCACTATTGGGTAGCAAATGTTCTAAACCACAACCCCAGACAAAACTGTGTGTGGGATTTTAGGAACATTTACAGCCTAAATCTTCCACCAGATTTGGATTTTACAAAGTGACTGACAGTTTTTGTGATACAAGTAACTGTACTGTGAAACAGAGGATCTAAATTCTTTAAAATACCAATCTAGATAGAAATCACATTTTCATATAGACTGTTTGCGTGAACAACTTGGTGTAAAGGGTCATTAAAGTAAGAATCTGATCTTTTCTGGCATGGGTCCACATCTGAACAGCCTAAAATCCAGCTTTAATCCATGTGCTCAGTGTTTACAGTTGGCTGGCTCTAGGCTTTTTAAAGCCAGATAAACTGATAGGAAGTCCAAGGCCCAGGAATGTGGTTGGAATTTAGGCCCAGCTACACCTGTCTTTGTCTGCTTTTGTGCAAAAATTCAGGACTTGAGCTTGAGCTTCTGCAAATGAGTAGTGGAGTTTACTTCTAGCCTTACAGAAATGATGTCTTCTTATCAGTGCCTTTGTATGTGATTTTTACAGTATTACCTGTTTAGTTTACCCAGTGGGCAGTCACCTTTGCCAGTGCCCTGACTCTGGCTCTGCAGAGGACAAGATTCAATCTGTTCTTTCTTTTTTTTTTTTTTTTCTTTTTTGTCACCTGCTTTGCTACAGGTAACATCAGTTGCAAGGGGATGACAGAGCGCATTCATAGCATCAACCTTCACAACTTCAGCAATTCTGTGCTCGAGACCCTCAACGAGCAGCGCAACCGTGGCCACTTCTGTGACGTGACGGTCCGCATCCACGGGAGCATGCTACGCGCCCACCGTTGTGTGCTGGCGGCTGGCAGCCCCTTCTTCCAGGACAAGCTGCTGCTGGGCTACAGCGACATTGAGATCCCCTCAGTGGTGTCAGTCCAGTCTGTGCAAAAGCTCATTGACTTCATGTACAGCGGGGTGCTGCGGGTCTCACAGTCAGAGGCCCTCCAAATCCTCACAGCTGCCAGCATCCTGCAGATCAAGACTGTGATTGATGAGTGCACAAGGATTGTCTCACAAAATGTGGGAGAGGTCTACCCGGTGATTCAGGATTCTGGCCAGGAGACACCCAGGGGAACACCCGAATCAGGCACCTCGGGGCAGAGCACCGACACAGAGTCTGGCTACCTGCAGAGCCATTCACAGCACAGTGTGGACAGGATCTATTCGGCCCTCTATGCCTGTTCCATGCAAAATGGCAGTGGGGAGCGCTCCTTTTACAGTGGAGCTGTGGTCAGCCACCATGAAACAGCCCTGGGGCTCCCCAGGGACCATCACATGGAAGACCCCAGCTGGATTACCCGGATCCATGAACGGTCGCAACAGATGGAGCGGTACCTCTCCACCACTCCAGAGACCACACACTGCCGCAAGCAACCACGCCCTGTCCGAATTCAAACCCTGATGGGCAACATCCATATTAAGCAGGAGATGGAGGATGACTATGACTACTATGGCCAACAGAGGGTGCAGATCCTTGAGCGCAACGAGTCTGAGGAATGCACTGAGGACACTGACCAAGCAGAAGGCACTGAGAGTGAGCCCAAAGGGGAGAGTTTTGACTCGGGAGTCAGTTCCTCCATTGGCACTGAGCCCGATGCCATGGAGCAGCAGTTTATGGCTGGTCTGGGCCGGGATGGGCAGCAAGAACCTTCTCAAGCAGATCAAAATGATGCCCCTGCTGATGGCACTCAGCCGCAGCAGCAGCAGCAGCATGCGGATGCCAACTCTTCCTCGCCAGAGAGAAGCAATGACGTTGAAATGGACAGCAAAGTGCTCACAGTCAATAACGGCACCGAAAAGGGGGCTTTGCAGCCTTCTGTCAACACAACTGTTGCCCAACCATTGCCAACCACACAGATCTACTTACGCCAGACAGAAACCCTCACCAGCAATCTGAGGATGCCACTGACTCTGACCAGCAACACTCAGGTCATTGGCACAGCTGGCAACACCTACCTGCCTGCCCTTTTCACCACACAGTCTGCTGGCAGTGGCCCTAAGCCTTTTCTCTTCAGCCTGCCCCAGCCTTTAGCTGGCCAACAGACACAGTTTGTGACAGTGTCCCAGCCTGGCCTGTCAACCTTTACTGCCCAGCTGCCAGCCCCACAGCCCTTGGCCCCATCTGCGGGCCACAGCACAGCAGGTGGGCAAGGCGAAAAAAAGCCTTATGAGTGCACTCTCTGTAACAAGACTTTCACCGCCAAACAGAACTACGTCAAGCACATGTTTGTACACACAGGTAAGATTATGTCCCTTTGGCTTATACACGAAGCCAGAGAAAGTCCTTGACAAACGTGGACTTAGATTCTGTTTCCCAACCTGCCAGCCCCCAGCACAAACAGGAGGGAGAGGTTATCCAGGGAGTTGGTATCGCTGAACACTTTCCAAGCTTACTGCATTGAAATTGAGCCCTTGCAGAAAGGTATAGGTCCCTAACTGTGCATGGTGCAGAACCAAGCTCATTTTGCCTGGAGTAAAATGTGTCCTGCACCCATCCAAGGAAGTGGTAAGCATCTGTTGTCTCCTGAAAGCTGACCAGGCAACATTCAGTAGAAGTGGCATGAGGAAACTGTAATAAGTCATTAAAGAAAAACTGTGTCTGCTAAGAAAGGGTATCCCTCTCTAAATTTTGCAGCTATGGGGACGTAAGCTCAAGTCATGATGACTGGCATAAGTTTAGGGCAAGCTCATTCCTGGTGGAGTTGCAGCAGTAAGTCCAGGCCTGGGTGTTACATACACTGCCACATATTTTCTAAATCTCACAGATTCCTATAATAAAGTAAATTTGGAGTTTTTTCAGGAAGTTTTTCTGTACTTCACTGAAGCTGATTGCCATAATACCCTGTCTCTTGTTAAGTCAGATGTTTCACTGGCTGTGAGTACAGAAACAGGGATCAATGAGAAAAATTTAAAATAATACATGTAGAACACAACATCAGCACCCTTCTTGTTTAAAAATGCAACTGCTTTAGTATATGGTCTTTTGTGAAGATATAGGTAACCATATTTACTACTGAGCTAAAACTGCCTTTTCTAACTCTGTCAGGTTATGAGACTTCAAAGCAAGGAGATATATGTGTCTTACATGGAGAAGCTATCCAGAGTTCAGGACTAAATTATGCTTGCTTTAGCCCTTGGCTCATTCTGACGTTGGAGAGCAATTCTAGTTTACAGAAAGCATAAATATTTCTCTCACCAAGCAGTGGGTTTGTTAATGTCAGATCTTAAAATAAATGCTGGGGTTGTGATACGTGGAGTAGAACCTAGAGAAATTGCCCAAGTTATGGGACGAATGTAAGTCGTGACTGATCATTGTACCCAATAGATTTCACTTCCATGTGCGTATGTAAACTTTTAACTTCTATTTACCTATAATTATCACTTAAATGGAAAATTCTTCTAGACATCTAAGGCTGACATGTACATAGACAAAATGGTAGAACAGAAGTTCTCAGGAGTGGTACAAAATGTATGATTACAAGGATCAAGAATCCTGAATCCCAAGATTACCCTTTGTGTCTGTTTATGTTCTTCATCTTTCTGTTGTGGATGAGTAACTAAAATACTATGTAGATAGTGTTGTGTTATTCAGGAAAATCCCCTTCAGAACACAGTCAAATACATCCGCCTGCATACTTGTTCTAAAAGCTAGAAAGGCTTTTTCACAAATAACTTCACTGAGATTGGAGCTTTATTCCCCCACCCCCAACTGTGCACTGCATTTGGTATTTGGAGTCAGATAAAGAATAATACTGAAAGACCTGACCCAAAGTATTCCTAGCTACTACACACAAAGTCAACCAAGGAAATTGATAGGCATCTCCAGTCATTAATTAATATTTCGTTTGTGTAGGTCTGCGAATGCCTCAGATGATGAACTGTGGTGGCAAGGAGAGATTTGAGCAGATAAATGAGTTCAGAATTCATTGAGGAGCAAACTGGCTTCTGGAGTGTCTGGGAGAATGTTTGCACCTTAACCAACAGAGGGCAGGGCTTCAGAAAACCCTTCTGAAAATAACCTTTATATGCACAGCCTCAGAGAAAGCATGTCTGCTACCTTGACTAGTGCTGGACAGGATCATTATGAAAACTGAGAAGAGACAGCTCTTCCCACTGTCAGGGTGACTTTCCTCAGCCCTGTTAAAAGAAGCCAGGCAAAGTGGCTCTGGAAAAGATGTATGGAAAAAGGGAAAGATTTGGGAGATGCAAATGTTTGAATTAGTCTTGCTGTTTGGAGGCCTTACAAGAGAAGCCATGGAGGAGTCTAATCATAAACCAGAATTCAACAACCTAAAGGCCTCCCAGTCTCTGTATGTTTTTATGCTTCCAAAAACTACACTGATGATGAAGCTTTCCATGCAATGGAAACCCACCTCCCTTTCTTCTTTCACATGGACACAAACATACTAGAGATGGATATTTTCCCGTGCTCCCTGCAGACTGGCTTTAACGTATCTCACAATGTTGTTCTCCAAGACATGCAGTGTTGTGGAAATGCAGTGCTAGAATGCATGCAGTGTCCATGCACCTTATAAGCCATCATTACCTTCCTCTACATATGACACTGTGATTAGTATTCAATAACTGTCCCACATTGTTGTCTAAAAACCAGCCAAATATTAAATGAAGAACCAAAACGAGGAATATGCACATTTAATTCACTGAGCAAAGTTTTCTCTGACTTAAAGATGAAGAATTGTGGGAATAAAGTATCTGCTGTGCTCACTTAGGAAGCACGTACATTTGAGTACAAAAAAAGAAAACCTAAAGAGTTTTGAGATTCTTAGGAGAGAAGAAAAACAGGGAAGGTTTTGAAGCTAAAGTTAGGAAGCCGGAACCCAGTGTATCTTAGAAACATGTGCAGGCAAAAATTAGGGTGTTTTTATAGCATAGTCTTAACAGGGTCTAGAGCAGAGGAGACTGACTTATTACAGACTCTGGGACATATATTGCCTAAGGCAAAAATTAGCATTATAAATATAATCAGTCTCTTACAAGTTAATCAGACATTATTATAACTGACACGCTATCATTTTCCACTTAACATGTGTCAAGCATATTGGCCTGTCTACACTCAGCACACTACTATGTTCAGCAAAGCCAGCAGGAAAGTAAGGACTTAATGTGTTTTGACCAAGTGTCTTTCACCAAGTAGGGACAAACTCATCAGTGGTGCAAGTAAGAGCAGCGTGTGGATTTAATTCACAGATGTCACCATCATATGTGCAAATTGTGAAACAAAAAGAAACAGAGACTCAGGGGAGATAAAAAAGTGGGTCCTTCCCATCCATCCATATTAATTATCTTCTCTTAAATTTGAATATAAGTACTGTATTGTAATCTCGCTATACAAAGAGTAAATTATATATTACCACAGGCGTGTGATGGTCCCTGAGGATTGAATCCTCAAGATGTAAAACAGTGCCAGCCAGATTGTAAAAAGGAAGAAGCAGGATGTCTGTGGGGCTAAAAAAAGAAAAAAAAAAACAAATGATTGCTGCTAGAGGGGAAACTGTGAAATGACCGAAGGAAAATAATTTTTCAGTCAGTGAAACAGAGGATCATTTTGACTGTTAGAGAGCTATGGTGCCATCTCTCTCCCTGACAGCTTGGGGGATGATGAATTACCACACCTGAAGTATACCACAAGTGATTCAGAAAACAAATTAAAAACCAGCTTTTGATGGGGCATTCAGGGTGTTGGGTATTGTCTGCATTATCAGTACAGCAGCATGTGATGAAAATATTGCCTGATACCATGAAACATGAAGCTGTGGCATTGTCTCCCAGAAGAACTCTGAGCATGAGGAGGAATTAAGAGTAGTCTGGGCAAACCAGTCGTATGTGCTCAGCTAAATATTTTTTCAGTTCATCCTTATAGTCACTGGTTTGTCTGGATATGATCAGAGTTCACTTATACGAGTTGCCAGAATCAGTTTTACAACAGCCCGGGGCGCACAAGGCAATGTGGTAGATGACATAAGTATTTTATATCTCTGGTTTACCTGATAAGGTGTTTTATTTAATTGGCAGTCAAATCATTTCAATTTCATGTCTGTTACACTGGAAGTTTAGCTGTTAGGTTGCCCTTTGCATGGTCCTGGCTGGCCTAGGCAATTCTATGTACCCTTTTCAGTTACTCTTATCCATGCTTCAGCTATGAGATTTGACCAGAAGAAGGGGCAACATATATAAGCGTTCTATAAAGTGTTGGATTCCTTTGGCAATCTCTAGCATTTATCTGAGAAATTTAAAGCAATTTGACAAAACCAAGCATGTTGCAGGTCAGCTATCTAGTAATCACTAGCTTTATCCATGCTTTTATTGCATACAGGTAGGGAGATGGAGGCACTGAAAGTAAAGTAAAGGTAAAGTAACTTGACTAAGACCTGTCTAGAAATGAGCATGAGGAGCAAGGCAGGAGCATAGGCAGGAGAGGCTGTGCCATTGAAGCTGGGGGTAGACACTAGGACCTTTTAATTCTAGTCCTGTCTTCGTCAGTGCCTACTATGTGAACTTGGAGACATCACCTGAGCTCCTTTTACTGTATGTGGATTGAGAATACCTACAGCCGCCTTTGTAAAGCGTTTTGAAACCTCTGTTTGCAAAACATGGTGTGGATCCAAACATGCTTATTAACAGAATTACTTTTTCTTAGCCAGAGCATCTCTCCAAAGACCCCCATGAGACTTACTGTTAGTTTATTGCAAAGGTTGTACCGAGTTGATTTAATTTTATTCTCTCTCTCTCTCTCTCTCATTGGTAATGGGCAGGTGAGAAACCCCACCAATGCAGCATCTGTTGGCGCTCCTTCTCTTTAAAGGATTACCTAATCAAACACATGGTGACGCACACTGGCGTGAGGGCATACCAATGCAGTATCTGCAACAAGCGCTTCACCCAGAAGAGCTCCCTTAATGTGCACATGCGCCTCCACCGCGGGGAGAAGTCCTACGAGTGCTACATCTGCAAGAAGAAGTTCTCCCACAAGACCCTGCTGGAGAGGCATGTGGCTCTGCACAGTGCCACCAACGGCACGCCTGGAGCCACCGGCACCGGCGCAAGGGCTGTCCCTGCCGGGGTGGTGGCCTGCACGGAGGGGACCACGTACGTCTGCTCTGTCTGTCCAGCTAAGTTTGACCAAATCGAGCATTTCAACGACCACATGAGGATGCATGTGTCAGACGGATAAGTAGAATCTCTCTCTCTCTCTTTGTTATGAACAAAAAAATAGAAACAACAAAAAAAAGCTATGGCACTAGAATTTAAGAAATTATTTTTGTTTCATTTTTACCTTTATTTTCCTCCTTTTTTTGGGTTCGTTTCGTTTTGTTGTTTTTGTACTACATGAAGAACTGTTTTTTGCCTGCTGGTACATTACATTTCCGGAGGCTGGGTGAATAATAATTTTCCCAACCTCCCTCGGATGGTGGCCTTAAGGCCAGGTAGTGCTTCATGAGCTCCACTGGTTGGATCTCTAGCTACTGGCCTCTAAATACAACCCTTCTTTACTACAAAAAACAAACAAACAAAAAAACCACAAAAAAATCAAAAAACAGACAGAAAAAATAAAAAAACAAAAAAAAAACCAATTTCTTTTTTCTCACTTGTGAAGAGCACTACAGAAAAAAAGAAACAAAACAAAATATATTACAAATCTACAAGGCCTACTGTCGTTATAAGTACACCGCTCGCAGTGTTTCAATGGACATAATTCACAATGCTGACCGCTTTTGGACTTCACAGTATCCAGTTAGAACTGTGGAATATTTTGCTTCTGGTTGAGCAGCAACCAGAGGAAACAAGGCCCTGCTGGTTTCCACCACGTGTCTGCTTTCTCACACACACATGCATCCACAAACACACAAAAGGGCTGAGGGGAGTGCAAGGCAGTGTGGCTTGGATAGTGTGGAGTCCCTGCAGGGTGAGGAAAAAGAATCAGAGGTTCCTCACCTGGATTCTGCTCCATCCCACGCTCTCTGGCGCACCCTCCCCGCTGCTTTTCCCATACCACCACCACCACCTTACAGCAGAAACCAAGAAGATTCAGACAACGAGCAACGGTGGCTTTTTTGTAATTTATTCAGTGTCTTCGCTGAGCCCAGGGCCTCAGCACAATCAAGAGGGACTTTCACAGAAGGCAAAGAGAAACACAGAGGAAAATCAAAGATATCAGAGGTTGCAACCTATGGATCTAGGTACAAGAGAAGGGTTAGTTCCCACAATCTTTGCAAAAAAAAAAAAAAGTTGCATCAGGATTTATTCTTGTGGAAGAAAGAGGAATAGACGGTGGGTGGGGAGGGGAATAATAATTAAAAAAAAAAAGAGTTCTTGGGACTTTTTTAATTCAAAATTTTATAGAGGGGCAAAAGTGACGTTTACCAGATAGAATGCTGATTTTTTTAATATATTTACAACAGTATTTGTGTAAAAAAACAAAAAAAGTGAGATTGTTAAAAGTAATTTTTCTTTGTTTTCTTTTTTGTTTTGCGTACACTGCCACTAATATCTTCTCTTTTATTATATATATGAATATATATAAATATATATTTTATTTTAAATTGAGACTGTTAAGGTTAGCTAACCTGCTTCCAGATAGAGGGGGGGAGGGGAGATGATCTTGATTTTTATTTTAAAAAAGAGGAAGGATGTTTCATAATTTTCTTTTCTAGTATTATTCTCTCTCTTTTCTAATGGAATCAAGAATTACCTGGGTCGATGAGGGGCTCTGTGAAGTCATCTGTGAGATTATCTGCTAGAGTTTGTACATCCTGCAGTATCATTTGAACTGCTACTTTGGTTTTGAATTACGTGGTTCTCTTTTTGGCTCTTACCAAGGTTCTGTTGTTTCTTTTTTTGGTTCCATCTCAGAATTTATTCACGCGGTCATTGGTTTGGGGGATGATAGAATCTGTAGTCTTTTCTTTCTTCTTATTTGAAAAAGTAATGAAAGTTTTGGAAGTGTGTAATAACTAGGATTTCCCTTCTTTTTGGTCACTGGACAAGAATTAATCTGCTGTATTGTTCTCTCATCCCTGCCTTGCTCGCTAGAGAGCTTCCATATTTGTGTGGGAATCTGATCCTGCTCCTGGTAATTTGTGCTGATGCCAAAATAACTTAAAATGTTACCATTGCAAATAATCTTCCCTTCTTCATTTGCAAAAACATCTAACTGAAGGGCCACATCCCGCATTCTCTGCATATGCAAAGCTATGCAAGGAATGTAGGATCAGTGTGAAAGATTGATTCCTGATCTGCATATATATGTTGGTGTTTTGTATTTTGTTTTATTGTGTTTGGGCTGGTGTTCTCCCTAGTCGTCTTCTGTGTATCTGTGTGAGAATTTTTCCCCCAAAGCCAACTCCCAAAGTCCATGGGTCCTTAGTTCAGTTGGATCAGTGTCTGACACTATCTTTGTCTTGCTTGAAATCCATAGCTAGGATTTGCACCAGCTGCACTCTGGACTTTATATTTTAGGCAGAGAAGAAGCACCTAACAAAAATATGCAAAAAGAAAAAAAAAGAAAAATTGCTAGTTTAGCTTTTACTGTGTCTATATTTAAATTAAGCTTTCTTAAGTTTACAAAACTTTGCTTGTGAACACTGAGCATTTCACATGATACATTCTTTTATGCTGGACAACTTTCTAAACATTGACTTGATAGATCTCCACATACAATTTTGCGTGTTCTTTACACCTGCGGCTTCTGTATCGGATGTCTGTGATTCAGCACAGGTAACCTCATTGCTACATTCTACGCCTGTTCCATTACTCATTTATTTTGGGAAAAAAAACCTGACAGGTGGTTCAGTCTCAGAATTTTTCTGTACCCTGCAAGGGATTGTTCAGCAGATCCTAAATGTTGAAGTCCTAATTCCCAGCTGCAGTAGGCAGCATAAAGAGACTTTGAGGCGAGTGCCAGAGCAAATGAGTCTCTTATGTGGTAACGTCCTTTTTTGTTACCAATTTGCTTGGGTAGTTCAAGGGGGCTGGAGAAGGAGCACAAGTTAGTTAAATATTGTTCTCACAACCACAATGGTAAAAGCAACAGAAAATTGAGAAGTGAAAAGACAAAGCCTTAGACACAGAGAGGGAGAACTAATATCTTCCATGTTAAGACGCACTAAATCTGTGCAGAAAGTAAAGGTTTTAGTGACAAGGGTGCGAAAGAAAATGGGGAAGGGGAACCTATAAAATAGAATTGAAGGTCTTTCTCTGGGAAAAGGGAGTTTTTTCTCAGATCTTTAGTATCGAAGAATTTGGTGTTCTCCCATATGAGGAATTAATGAAGAATTTTAGCCAGCTTAAAAATCTGTAGCTGCTCATTGGTCATCTGAGGTCTGGGGAAAAGCTGTTTAATTTCTCATTGTTAAATCTGATGAACTATAGTCAAGATGTAGCGTATTCTGGAATATGGTACCAGAAGAGATATGCCAGTACACAGGAAATAAGAATCAGGGTTTAATCCACCAAAACCTGAATACTATGGTGTTTAGAGAGAAAAATCCTATCTAAATTTTAATTCTTCATTTTTCAACCTTCCCTAAATCAAAAAGGCATCATCTTTGCAATGCAGATTTATTATGGGGCCTAATAAATTTGAAGTTAAAGATCAGTTGTGAATGAACGAAGGGTGCTAATTAAAAAAAATAAACAAACTTCTTAAAGTAAAGCTAAGGCATACTAGACTGAATTCTAAATCACTTGTCAAAGAGTTTAGGCCAAGGTCTTCACAAATGGCCATCTGAAATATAAACTGATTTTGTTGAACTTCCAGGCTCAAAAATTAGTGACTTGATTTTGTAAAACATGGCGCAACTTGCAGCATGGCATGAAAGTGCTCATCAGGTCACTATTTATAAGTGCCCTTCCTGTGAACTTAGGAGCTTAAACATAGACCCCTTTATCTTTTAAAATGTTAAATTCTTTTTAATAATGCTTCCTCCCATCTGTTGAAATACTTATTTACTACTTGGAAACAACTACAATATCTGAATGTTACAGGTATCTTCAAGCTTCATGCATTACTATAATATTCCTTAGCAGAAAGAATATGCGTGGTACACTGGCAGTCACAATGATCTACAAACTGCTGTTGACAGTGTCTGAGCGCATCCATCTCAGTATGCTTGAAAGGCTTCCTTCAAAACACCTGATAAAATGATATAGATGAGAAAGAGTAGACTGTAGCACACATTCCTCTGATGGAGCACGCAATATCCTGCATTCCTTGAGCCTGATTCTCATTTTCCCTAAAGCTCTCTTTGTATTGCTTTGGCAATGGAAAAGGGCATGAAATAGGACATAAATTCAAGCATACAAATCAAGGCCTCTCTGCAAGGCGAAAGTGCAATAAAGGAAGCCTTAGAGTATATGAGAGGTAAGTGCCTTCTCTTACGGATGCTGAGGCTGATGGAGTCAATTGAAAATGTAGGATTGGCCAGAGCAGGTCTGCCCTGTGGTCCACCTTGACCAGTATTCTGTCTCTGACATGCAGCCAGTTACAGATGATTTGGATGAAAATGAAAGACCGTGTTGGATAATTACAAAGTAATAAGCCTAAGAGAGATTTATTATAATCCTCATTAGCTATGTATCTGCTTATAACCTAAAGACATAATAATTTATGGCCTTAACTTTTTAGCCCTTATAAAAATTATGTATTGTGTCAGATAATTCTCATTATCTTTTAAAGATCTATCTTATTAATTGCTAGGTGGCCCCAGTGCTATCCTGTGGAAGTGAGTTCCTCAGGTTAATTACCACCTTGTTGAAATGATTCCTTTTCAGGTTAATTTTGTTGCTGTTCACTGAAACACCCTTGTTCTTGTATTACGTGAAATCATAAAACAGAGAACCAAAATTTAACTTCCCTTGTCCGATCCGCTGAAGTCTGCCTCTCTCTGGGAGATCTGAATCCACAAGGAATGCAGGACCACAACATCAGTATCTGCTGGTCAGTAAGGAGAGAACAGCTACCGAGTGTGCACGTGTGTGTGTGTCTGGGGTGTGTGCATTAGTGAGGTTATCCTGCAGTGATCTCTTGCAGAGGACTAGCAAGGACAACTCATAAATAATACAAACATGCCGGTAGAGTACACCAGTCTAGAAACTGTAATATGGTATTTCAGTCTGGTCCCTCCTCTCACAAAACCCTTATTAATAGTCTCTCACAAGGGAAATAGGTGTGGC